TCCTCCTCCTCCTCCTCCTCCTCCTCCTCCTCCACCTCCTCCTCCTCTTCTCCTCCACCACTCCTCCACTTCATGGCTATATTCAAAGTTTCCAGATGATCCCTCCTGCACTTCTGTCCCATGCCAACTAGCCACCAAACATCAATGGTGCATGTGTTCTACCAACCTTTCTGGTCTAGAAAATCACTCAGAAAAGGATATTTTTCCCCCCCATTCTGGAAAAGAGACTTCCAGGACTAGCCTGAATGCTCTGAACAGCTTGGCTTCTTCCAAAGAGAAAAGGAACGTCTGCATTCCACCTTAAAAACGCACAGCTGTATTTGGCCACCGAGTGTCTCTCTTTCTCTCCCTCTCTGGTTTTTTTTTCCCCCTTTCTCCTTTTATGCCCTCTCTTTTACCGAGAGCTGGGCCAACAGCCATTCCTCTCTTTTTCTGGCACGTTTGCTGGCTCTGCTCTCACCAACCTCGGGAACCGGGTTATCCGATGGGCCGCTTTGAAGGGAAGAACATCTGACTATGGGCAAAGAGTCTCCCCGGATGAAATCCCGGGGGAGGCGGCTGGTGCAGAAGCCCAGGGAGGAAGCCGGCTTGATGCTGGAGCCTCAGCTTTCGACAATGCCGCATTGACATTTGGGCAGGAGGGGTCCACCGCCAGCGGCCTCCCTCGTGTGTGGGTCGCTGTGGGGGAGATGGCCAAGGCAGGTCCGCCAAGAGGGAAGATGTGGGGCCGAAGAAATGCGGTAAGAGCCTGCTGGCTTCGTCATTTCGCATCGCGTTGCAAAGCCGGTTGGAAGGCTGGACTTTTGATTCCGCTGCAGGAATCCCGGCTGGGCTTCTTCCAGGGGCAAAAAAAGAAAAGGCAGAACGTGGTGCTTAGCAAGGAGACAGGGAGGGGACAGGGAGCGCAGGATCCTTGCAGCTGACCTTTCTTTCAGTCCGCCTTTTCATCATCCCAAGGGCTGCTCGTGGGGGGGGGAGGGGGTGACATGGGCAGGCTGGCATCCAAGTCAAAACGTGGCACGTTGGAAATAATCCTCTGGCTCTCTCTTTTTACGTTCTGCCTTTTGCCTGCTGTAAAACAAGGATGCATTTGGAGTGTGTGTGTGTGTGTGTGTGTGTGTGTGTGTGTGTGTGTGTGTGTGTGTGTGTGGAGCCATAAATGAGAGATAGAGATGAGAGAGGATGAGAGAGAAATGATGGACAGGAGAGAGAGAGAGAGAGAGACAGAGAGAGATGATAGATA